GGGGTATACTTATAGGTATGTCATCTGTCAAATGGAAGTGTAACTGATAGAAGACTCTATCTCACGGAACTCAACTTGTGATATGATATTTGAAAACTCTTGAAAAACTGTATTCAAAGCAGTTAAAAGTATTTCTCCAACTGTCATTATTTGTCGAAGTGAGGGGAAGCGGTTTGGGAAGGTGATTTTACCCCCAAACACCGCGCAACAATTGTCTCAAATTCCTTTTCCGAAAACGCCTTGTATGGCAATATTTGCCTGTATTGTTTAAAATGGATCAACCTATTATTGTATATATAATGACAGTCGGTGACAGGTTTTGCACACGCCTACAATGTAGTAAAGAATAACGTCCTAGCTATCGTATGTAGACTAGCCAAGATAACTGATCTGAAGTTTATCGATGCTTATTTGTATTGTAATCCTGACCAATGAATATTGAGTGGGTGGGGTGTTCTGCTATGTGCCTATTGAAGATGCCTGGCTCACCATACTATAAAAAATTTAGAAAATTTTACCGTTATTTTCAGAATTTTCGGTAACATTCGGTCAGTAATATTACCCACCTACATCACTAGTAATAGTACTAATCCTCAGGAATATAAATCCAAGATAAACTTTTTTTATTACTAAAAATATTGGGGTTTTGGTTTTAAGTTTTTTTATTTGTATTTTAAATGTAACACCGGCGCCGCTCTATCAGAATTATTTGAAATGTAAAGTTTGGCAACTACTCACAGTTCAGAGGTCGTAAAAGTCGCTTATGGTCGTCCCACTAGCGTGTTCCAGTGGCGGACTACTTTAATTAAAAATGGGATTTTTTTTCTAATTTTGACATACTTAAAGTAACACTTTTTCATATTCTCACGACACTTTAACTGTAAAATTTTTGTGATTTTTTATTTTCCAAATTAGCTAAAAAAAAACGACATACCACGTACTGGTTTAAAAAATCTTGAACTTGCTCAGGGGCCAATTGCCCCCATTGCCCCCACCGGAGCCGCCGCCGGGTAACTGAATCCCTTACAGTAAGAAAGTTTTATTTTAAATGAAACCAGGGTTGTTTCCTTAGAACACCTGACTTAATTCTTCACATTCGGAATGCACTACTATAATTTTTTGGAAGTTTGTTTATTCTAGTCGCGACTTCAGACATAAATTCGCCCTCTGGTGACAAAAATTTGAAACGACTTTTGGAAGTAAATATTGTAAATGGCTAATGTGCTAAGATAGTAATTTTGTCGTTTTATGTATTAAGTAATTGTTTTTGGGCTGTGGCAAGTCATATATTGTGTTTTTACCTTTCATTAGTTTCATTTCACGCCAGTTGTTTGCAGGCAGAATGCCAGAATATCGATAGATACTTCCGTTAAAAAGAGTAGGATTTAAAAATGCCTGTCTTTAAATAACAGCCCTACTTATTCTATACCAGTAAAGGTAAGAAATCACTGGTCCTAGTGTAAGAAAGTCTTTGTCGCCTCATTTTATTCTCGTTTTATTCTAAGCTGAGGAAAAAAACGGCGATATAAGAATGCAACTGGACCTAATTTTCTTACCTGGTAAACTAAGTAAAGTGAAGTTAAATAAATAATGGTCTCTAATTAACGGTAATTGGCCCAAGAAGGTAGATTAAACACAAAACACAACACAATTTTACTAAAAAAAACACACAATTAAACATTAAAAAAGCCGGTAAAACGTGTCTGGGAACGTAAATGTCAAAAAATTTGCTTCCAACAGCAGCGCCCCCATCGATAAATTTAGTCGCGAATAGACAAAAAGCAACCTTAGCAACGTTCCTTGTATACTTTGATTTTTAACTTATACATATACTTACGTATTCTAAATATTATGATATTTTGACATTTTTGTCAGACACAATTAAGTGCCAGTTCCTCATTTAGATCAAACTACCCGCGGGGGGAATGATGTACTTTGTTCTCTTGTATTACAAATAGCTATTGTGGATCAATCACCCCTAAAACCATATTAATTTTCGATGTCCCTAGACGTCTTTACCACTAAGCTACAGACCCCCCGATTCATTCTCATTATCATACGTTTATTAATTGTATATCTAATTTATTTTAGTGTTCTTGTTTTCGATATCGTTCCCGAGGCATTGTGCATCTTTTTTTAGCTCTCAGGTCTTAGGTTCAAACGTTTAAATGCAGTGTTGGATTTGTTGCAGTTTGGTTCACTTTTTTGGGATATTTTGTTTAGAACTGCAGTCCCAAGAATGGGATTTATTAGTTATATATTAAATAAATAATTAATATTTGTATTATAAAAGGAACATTTATTTTAACAAAACGGAATTTTTATATTATACTAAGCTATGTATAACATATAGTTCGTAAGATGATATTTTATGAGGGTGATATGATCTAACTCGAGGACCTTCGGCCGCGGGGTGTGATGCGCGGTAGCTTAGTTGAAAGAGCCCGGCTGCGTCAAAGCATTTTTAATTTTTCTACAGCCTCAGAAGTGGGATGATCAATCCGCTTGACAGCACAGTTCACTTAATTTATGTTTATGAATTATGTGTACCAAGGTGTCGGATTATGGCCGGCAGCCGGAGACGGCTGTGTTGTCAGGTATGGCCGAACTTTAGTAGATTATGTAAAGAACGGTACCCCGAATAGGAGATTTGAGGTGTAGATGCGTGGTACCCCAGTTGGAAGAGCATTGGCCCAGAAATTTAAAGTTTCCGGGTTCAAGCCCCGGCTGCATCAAAGCATTATTAATTCTCCTAGAAATTGAAGGTTATTAAAGAAATCGACATCCGGAAGCATAGATTTGGATGGCACGAGGCATACGACGTGCTGCCTCGGCCCACCTCCAGTATTTCGAATCGCTTGCAGTAGAACTGTAGAAGTCTCAAAAACATTCAAACAAATAAATAAATTCGATGTCAATAATAATTAAAATTAGAACAAGTATCATACAAGTTACCTACTTGCTACAATAAGGTGAGAAACTCACTAACCGAACCTAACATAACCTAAAAAAATACCTGGAATGCTCTCCTGGACCTATTTGTAAAACCCGCTTTACAATATTGTCGTTTTATTGCTGGCAATAAAAATTGCAGCAGTTTTTATTTCACACATGCGCAGTAGATGCTTTTCAATCAGCCGATGCCCGTTTTATTGTAGTAGCAACGAATTTAATTTCTATGTCTACCACCATAATACCTAAGAAATTATGAAAATGTTTGTCAAAAATTTTTTTTGTTCTGTAGGGCTCAAGTAATTTATCCGTAAATGTTGATAACATTAACATTGTTTGTAAGGTTTTATTCTAAATATTTATAAAAAAATCCATTAACCTAAGATCATTAAAAGTTTGTTTCTCGTTGGGAAAAAGGGGGGAATATCAATTTGTGTCACTTGTTGCCTGTTGGTGAATGTGTATTTTCAGTGTTTGAATATCCTTTTTTGATTAATTTTTTATTTAACATTAACCTGTTTTATACCTTTTCAATTTCAAATTGGCGTTAATCAGAATCAAATCGACAATGAACAATATCAAATTGGCAACATCAATTTCAGACTGACATTAATCAAAAGCAAATTGACAATAAACAAAATCATATTGGTACTAATCAGAATCGAATTGACAAATTACCAAACAAGCAGACGAACTTTAATTTGTTCATATCGCGGACGAATTTGTGAGGCAGTGCTTAAGAAGAGCGCAAAACATTTACCAAACTAGAGTGGCGTTAGTCGTTGATAATGCTCCATGCCACATTAGTATTGAAGAGGTTTTTGCAGAGGGCGAATTTGACCATCACACACTTTTACTACGTATAGTCCGTATAGCCCTATGTTCAATCCCATTGAACAGGCATGGTCTGCATTAAAGGAGCAGGAGTAAAAGAGTTGGTGAAGAGATAAATAAAATCTTGGCTGGTGCTGATCGGGATGTCTGACTCAAACAGAATATCGTATGCAGAGATAGAGAAGTTCGTGGCAATATTGGCACATAATTTCTAATTGGAAATCATTGCACATATCCAAAGATTATTTCTGCATTGGATATGCAAGATATGTTATTAAGAAAATTGGTTATTTAAAACTCGTTAATGGTTTCAATTAATTATATTATTTACTGTGTCTATCATTCAATAAATTGTTCTTGCTGATTGCATTTTATTTAATATCAATTAAAAAATTGCCAATTTGACTTTGTTTATTGTCAATTTGCTTTTGATTAATGCCAGTTTGAAATTGAAGTTTAAAGACAATTTAATGCTATGTGAAAGTTGGACTGGGTAGTTTGGAAATTGGTCAAACATTTATATTTATTGTGCTATTTGAGCTTCTGATAATGCCTATTCTGTAACTCAAATCGAATAGAAATGTATGAAGTAGAAATAGAAATCGAAATGTCATTATTTTTTAATAGCAAATATAATTGGCACTTTTGGTTAGAGAAATAAAAAGCGGTGAAAAATATGATCTGCGCTACTTAATATCAACACTTTCAATGTCTATAACCAAAAGTGCAAAAGTGAGTCGAAATTAGCGAGTAAAAATATGCTGACATATTGATTTATATTTCGATTTGCATTTCTATTCGAGCTTCAAATAGCCTAATAAATGTAATATTTTAACAGGATATCTTTGCGAGATGCCAGTAGGAAAGTAATGTTGCCACACACATAAAAATAAAAAAGTAGAAACAAAAAAACTGTAATTTTATGGTGATAAAACTTAATACTATGAATATAGTTTTGTTAAAGACTATATAGACGAGGGGGCGCCTCCTCTCTAAATCAGCCCCTGCATATTGTATTATAGTTTTCTAATTTATTATGGTATTAAGACGACGAAAGAAACCGATGGTTATTAATAATTAATAACATCTTCGTTTACTTACAACCAATAGTATTAATCTATTAAGAAACATTCGTGTTATGAAAACTATACTTTTCAAAGATTACTTACGCAATGTTTGTGTCAAACCCCAAATTTGTTCTGTAAGGACGTTTAACATTGAAAAAAAAAGTAAAATTGTGTGCTGCCTTCCCTAACAAATATATCACGAGTCGCCACGACTAGTTTATCTTTATATATTTTTAAATAAATTGTTAAAACAATGCTGCAAGATTCGACATTAACAAGTTTGATAGTGGTCCTAGAAACTGTATGTTATTTTGCATAAAATTTCTATTTAACCAACTGCGCAGTGCACCATTGTTGGAACGAGAGATTATTATCGCAACTCCCGGGTGTACATAAAACGTACAATAAAATTCACATCCGGAACTACTGCTAATAAATTTGAATCATAAATGTTTTATTGTTCATTATTGTTCTTTAATCTGTATTGTAAAACGCACTAAAGTAGTTCTCGAAACATTAATAATTTTACCCAGTTTTTCCATTAATAATAAAATTAGACTAAGTATTATGCACCGAGAAAACACGTCCAAGTAAACTAGTATACTTTGGTATATTTTAATTACCATCAATAAACTATTCAACTAGTACACCTGCCGCAGCAATTTTTTTCCTAACATTGATGTTCTGCCACAATTAAACCGTAGTGTTTGTTGTTAGCTAACACTTCAAGCTAACAAGCTAAAAAGTAATTCACTTGATATAGAAAAAAATGTTTTTCCACGAACGGGAGTAGAAATCGATTTCTATGGCGTCAAAATTGTGACGGAAGTAAAGCATTTACTCTCTAGGGACGAAATAAGACACCAATTTCCCTATGGGAGTTTTTATTTCATGCCCAATAGTTCATGCCCAAGACATTGCATATGTATTTACGTATATAAGTTAATAGTTTAACAAAATGTAATTCTTATTTAATAACATTGATAGTAAATGTTACATTCTCGCAACTATTGAAATTAATATTTGAGGGGACTTCACTAGAAAAAAAAATAAAACATTTTCTTTACTCAGATTTGAAATTATTTTTTACGAACATACTTAATAAAATGTACAAACAATGAAACAAAATAGAACATTATCGCAATTATCTTCACTTTGGCTCAAAAAGTAGGATTTTAATGCAGGCCATTTTTTCCAGCGGTCGACAAATGGCTGGTAATAGTGACAACCACCTTGTCGGAACATGACGAAGTATTTGAGCCCATTCAATTTCTACGAATTCACAAAAATCTTTGAGGGACTCTGCATTTTTTGCAGATGAAAAAACTCGTTATACGTCTAAATAATCAAAGTTTCAACATCCACTGTCAGCAAACTTAGCTGTATTATTAATAACATGACAATTGCAATTACCCGAAATCAAATGAGGCACATCATTTTCCAAATGCCTAAACATCGAATTATATTTTCCGTAATTTACGGAAGCATTATCTGCAAAAGGATATTTTCCTGAAAATTTCATAAATTTATTTTCAACCAATTAGAAGGCTCCTTTTATTTACGTTGCTTATAGCAACGGGAGATTATCGCGATAATTTTGTTAGTTCCTATTAACTTAATTAATAAGTGATAATTTTTCTGTCAAAAATGAAGTTTATATCTATTGGCAAAAGTCACTCAGAATAAAATCAAAATACATTTTGTTGCTAACTTATAATTTTTATTGATACCAAACCAATTTGCTTTACATATCGAACACCGGGGCTTAAAGAGACACATCACACTTTTGAACAGATTTGAAATATAATGAAATTCTTGCACTGAATCCTTTTTATTAGGCGAAAAACTACAATTTATGAAATTTTCTTAGCACCGAATCTCCCACGCAGCAGAATTAATTTCCGATAATTTTTTCTCGGTTTCACTCATGTATTTTGTTGATAGAAAATTTCCCTCGTCTTCGACTCGGGATAATTTTCTATCAAGAAAAACATGAGTGAAACCGATTATATTTCAAATCTATTCAAAATTTTTGAGGCCCGCCGCGGAGTTCGATATGTAAATTGGTTGGTATCAATAAAAATTATAAATGAGCAACAAAATGTATTTTGATTTTATTCTCAGTGACTTTTTGCCAATAGATATAAACCTCATTTTTGACAGAAAAATGATCACTTATTAATTTCCATTAACTTAATAGGAACTAACAAAATTATCGCGATAATCTCCCGCTGCTATAAGCAACGTAAACAAAACGGAACCTTCTAATTGGTTGAAAATAAATTTAGAAAATTTTCGCGATAATTTTGTTAGTGCCTATAAGGTATTAACTTAATGGAATTAATAAGTGATAATTTTTCTGTCAAAAATGAAGTGCTGATAGACTATTGAATCTATATATTTAAAACGCAAAGCGTTTTCTATTCCGGCTTCTCGGCTTCCACTTGACCGATTTGGATGCGACTTTTTTGTAATTAATGCAGTCAATCCACAGATGTGTCATCACCAACTATTATAAATCCTTATTACGTATTTTTATATAAAACAACGATAATACGAATTCAAATAAATGAGTGTATTTCACTGGCCGTGAACGTCGTTCGTTCTGTACTTGGGGCGCCCTCTGTAACGGGCTCGCATCTTTCTTTGAAACACACAGATACACGCAACAGCGGCTGGATAAGGGATGCGGCAGAGAGTTCCTCAATCTATACAACTTTGGTATTCTAAACTTCATTGGATTCTTAGCTACCGGTACCTAATTGTTATTTTCATTCGTGGCATAGATATGTTATTAGATTTTGTTTCTGTTATAAGAGGTTTTCTTATTTCAAGAGTTTTATAATTAAAAGAGTTATCGAGTTAAGAGTTGTAGGATTTTT